TATCAGCTAGATCTAGATCAGGAACAGGTTTTCAGCAACTGAGAGGGGGTTTGGAATCTTGGGGCTGGTCCACACTAACCTCCCAGTTCGAACTAAGATACGCAACTTCAGCTACGTGAATAACGTAGCTGAAGTCGAAGTACTTTAGTTCGAAATACAAGGTACTTACCGCGGGTCCACACGCGGCAGGCAGGCTCCCCCGTCGACTCCGCTCACTCCTCTCGCAGAGCAGGAGTACCGGCGTCGACGGCGAGCACTTCCGGGATCGATTTATCGCGTCTAGACAAGACGCGATAAGTTGATCCCAGAAGATTGATTGCTTACTGCCGAACCTGGAGGTAAGTATAGACATACCCTTGTAGTTCATCTGTCCTGATGTGTAGGTGAAACAATGTCTCAAAAGGCCATTATATGTGTGTGTGTGTGGTGAAAGAGAGTACTGAAAAGATGGGGCTCCTTAAAAAGTCCTGTGTGGCTCAGCACGTGGCTAGAGTCTGTTCTGTCAGGAGCCCTACCTTCCCCCGGTATAGCTGTGAGCCACCAGAGCCTTGATCAGGGGATCAACTTCTTGTCTGCTGGATCTGGTATCTGCTCCCATCACAATGGGCTTACAAAAGCATGGATAATTAATGCGGCTGTGGGGAAAAAAGTAATCATGTAAAAATGGCTCCTTCTGACTCCGAATATTAGCTGCCTCTGTGTACCCAGTGTCACATCTGCTCACTGACAAAAGAATGTTTTTATAACTTTTTACACTTGTTAGCCCTGCAGAGCTATGGGAAAGAGAGCTGGATTCTATTCTGGTTCATGCATTGTCAACGGAATTGTTAATTAGTTTCCTCTGCAGGGCCAGATTCTGACCTCAGAACCCCACTGACCTATGCAACCCCACTGAAGACAATGAGAACAGAATTTGGCTCTCAGAATCTGAGTCTTTATTATTGGTGATGATGCACAAATCAGAAAGAACCGAGCATCAACTTCAGATCCGAGGTTGAATTTACATGGCTGGCAGTTAAACTCCTCCCATCTTTTTACTTGTTAACTGAACACATTTGATCTGGAATCACTGAGGGTTGGGTATACCTACACTTAAAACGCTGCAGCAGCTCCATGTAGTGCTTCAGTGCAGTCACTACCTATGCCAACAGGAGGGCTTCTCCCAAATTAATACTGGTCACTCCAGGCTTGTATTAAACTCCCAAGGTTACAGCTTTTCTCTGTCCTGAGCTGGATAGATGCTGCCACCACTCAAATGCAAAAACCCCTTTGAAGAGCTAGGAGGGTGCACTTGGGAATTCCTTCCTGTGGGGTACCCTCAAGCCCTTTCACCCCTCTCTCCGGGGGAAGAGCTGAGAATGAAAACAAAGGAAATCAGCTGTTGCTACCAGCTAATTAAACAAGGTCAATGTAAGTAATCCACTGCGCCAAGAGGCAGTAGCTATTATTCAATCAAGCTAGTGCTGGTCTACACTGGGTTAGGTCAGTATAGCGATGTCTCTCAGGGTGTGGAATTTGTATACCCCTGAGAGATGTAGCTATCCCGAAGTAAATTCCTAGTGTTAGACCTGGTCTGAGGGGGAATTAGCGTGGAGTCCCATGATGCCCTTTTTACATAGTCAGTTTTCAGAGTAGAATTGCATCTGAAAGGATATTTCACAATTTCATCACACAGAAGGTGCTCGAAGAGCTGTGGCATTTTTTGTTGTAAGGGCCTGAGCCTAATGCCTGTTGAAGTCACCAGGAGTCTTTTAACAGATGTCATTGGGTGCTGGATTGAACTCTAAATACATATTTCCCCAGTAGTAGTTTATCCCAAGTGAAATGCTGATTTATTCTCTTCTGCAAATGTTCACTGATGAGTGGTAACTCTGTAGTCTAAGACCATGTGGGAATGATTAGAGTCGATTGAACATGACATTGTAAAGTCATTTCCAGCTTGTAATCAGCAACAATGGATGTGGTTAGGCTATTTAAATAAACATATGGAGGAGAGGATGAATCATTAAGTAAATAAATAGTTGATGCTTAGGAATTGCCATTATATGTAATACTGTTGGGCAGATCTGACATCTATTTCTTTTACTAAGGGCTTCTCTACACTTAAAATGCTATAGAGGCACAGCTGAGCCGCTGCAGCTGTGCCATTGTAGCACTTCAGTATATGTATGCCAACGAGAGGGCTTCTCCCATTGGTGTAGGTAAACCACTTCCCTGAGAGAGGGTAGGTAGGTCGACAGAAGGATTCTTCTATTGACCTAGTGTTGTCAACACCAGGGGTCAGGTTGAAATAACTGTGTCCCAGGGGGATAGATTTTTCACATCCCCGAGAGACATAGATACACCGATGTAAACTCCTTGTGTAGACCAGGCCTAGGAGAATATCTGCTGAAGTATAAGGGCCAAATTCAGAAGTGATTCTAAGAGAGATGTAGCCAAACCGACCTAACCCCCAATGTAGACCAGTGGTAGGTCGACAGAAGAATTCTTCTCTTGACCTAGCTACTGCCTCTCGGGTAGGTGGCATAGGTAGTGTCTACAGTGAAGCGCTACAGCAGTGCAGCTGCAGCATTTTAAATGTAGATAAACTCTGTAAGTAGGTTTAATTTAATCCTTCTTTCAGCTCATGGACCCTTCATTCCATACATATGTATGCTACATCAATTTAGACTTCTTTAGGATCACGACCCCTGACCAGTTTGTAATATACAGCCACTCCCTTTAATACAGCACTTTGGAATTTGGTCCATTGAGTCTGAGGTCTTGCCTATATTAGAGAATTTTCCCTTATGTAACTGTATCAGTCTAGTTCCATCAGTGTAAACCCCTAATGTAGATGAGGTGCATTGGTGGGGCCTAGATTAGTATGACTTAATCCAATGAATAACCAGAGTAGCCTGGTTTATATTATGCAGCATGTCTACATGCATGTACCAGTGCAATGCAGAGAAGGCTAAGGGCTGGTCTACACTGGGAACTTGCGTCTCTCAGGGGTCTGAAAAATCCCCACCCCTGAGAGATGTAGCTATACCAGAGATCGGCAATCTTTGGCCCGCGGCCCGCCGGTTTGTTTACCTGCCATGTCTGCAGGTTCGGCTGATCGCGGCTCCCACTGGCCGTGGTTTGCTGCTCCAGGCCAATGGGGATGGCAGGAAGTGGCGGCCAGCACATCCCTCGGCCTGCACCGCTTCCCGCAGCCCCCATTGGCCTAGAGTGGGGAACCGCGGCGAGTGGGAGCCACAATCGGCTGAACCTGCGGACGCGTCAGGTAAACAAACCGGCCCGGCCCGCCAGGGGGCTTACCCTGGCAGGCCGCTTGCCAAAGGTTGCCGATCTCTGAGCTATACTGATGCAAATTCCTAGTATAGCCCAGGCGGAGTGTAAATTAAACCAATATAAACTCCCTTTCATATCCTTAAGTGGGTGTAATTAAGCATGTAACGGAGTTGGACTGGGCCAACATGTAGGGGCTGAGTGGGGGCCAGAATCTTGCCCATTATGGCTAGAGTGTAATTGGAACTAAATGAGATGTGATTTCGTGTTGCTACAGCTAATAATTACCTTATTGACAATGATACCGGGCAATATTCTCCAGTGTAATGCAGTGTGTAATCTGACCTTAAAGATGGTTTAACTGGTCCAGGGAAGATCACAACTTAAGAAGAAACCTCCAAATGCATGTAGCCTGCGTAGGAGTTTTCAGTCTCGTCTTCATCCAGCTACCAGTATATCTGAGGGGGAAAAAGTGTAACTGGAAAAAAGGGTGCCTGGCCAGGACACCAATCCTCAATCGCATTTCAGCAAAATGTAAAATAGGACAGCCCTCATGCAGCTCTAGACTAAAATGATGCAGGAGGATCAATCCTGCACAGAGCTGCAGGAAATTTAAGACACCTGTATACATGCACCCCTGACTGATGCTCTGTGCAGCTCCTCAGAACCCCAGGACCTGGCTCTAATTGTCCAGCTTGCAATTGAAAATAAATGTAGGGAGTAGCAAAGCTTGTCTGATGAAAGCCATTTGCTGCAACCTTGGATCTCTGTATGCAGAAGTTTTTTATTTGAGCCCTGGCATGCTTAGTTTTGACTTACAGTGCAACATGGTTATTATGTGTCTATATTTAACCACAGTGTTTTTTGCAGTAGTGTTGCTGTGGTTTTTCTTTCATATTGCACACACGCAACAATGGAATACATAAAACATTCTCATTACCAAAAGAAATTTAATTTTGCAGCAATAATTAAATAGGAAGCTGCCACTAGAACTGCCTGGCAGTTTTACAAAGTGGGATGCAGCTCTGCCTTTCAATGCAAGGGAAGGCAGAGGACTATCAAAGTAGCTATACTTCAAGTTGTCCAGAAAAGGTGTATACTGTGTTCCTCAGAGTTTTTCCCTCTTCCGCTCTCTCAGCTTCTGATCGCTCCCTTTTTGCCTTCCCCCAACACAATGGAACTCCTTGGTCCTCTGACAAAAGCCATCCAGCTGGCTACCAGCCTCACGCTGCCAACCACTCCTCTGTGCTATTGATCCTCAGTCTTATTGGAGATTGGTCAGCTTCTGGGAATGATAAAGGGGACCTTAACTTGGAGCACGCTTGTGTTAATAGAAGGTGTTTATGAACAGATATATCAGTGCCCTACCCCTTCAGTGGTTGAGAATAATCAGTCACAGACTCTCCACTACTAGAAGTAGGGAGTCATATTCCACAATACTCCTTTGTTTGGGATGGGGGCAAGGGGATCCCAGCCTGAAAATCCCTTATGTGGCATTCAAATAGCATGGAAGACAATTTGGACCCCATTCAGGGGTGTTTCCTGGTAGACCCCTGGATTTCCTGTACTTATGTTTTTCCCCTCACTCCTTGATCAGTTTGACACTAATTTTTCAGTGCTCTATGAACAGGAAAGTGTTGGCCTCTGATTCCCAAGGCTCCAAACCAGAATAAATTGTGAAGAAATAAAAACATGACACTAATGGAGTTTTCTTGTTCTCATTTCAGGACAAGTGCATCCCTGACCTAGAGGCATCTAACTTCAAATCCATTAGTCTCTTTGAGCTTTGGTCAGGGAATTATGTAACTCCTCTCATTCCTTCTTCATTAAAACATACCTCCCCCGAACATGCTGAAGGACTTGGCTAAGGTACTTGTGCCTGTAGCATGTTTTGCTGTGTTAATATCTTCCTCTCAAAAACAAATGACAAATACGTGTGAGAATGTAATCTAGGCATACGTTTTCTATATATCACTTTGCAAGTGCTTGTAATCTTAATGGTTCATATACCACATAATAAATGATTCCATATGTAGAATTCAAATATTCATAAGGTTCCTTTTAACTAATGTTGGCTCTGCAATGTCAAAATACCCAGTTGCCACATTTCAAGCAAAGACTTGAGGACCATATGGCTATAATGAAGGAATGGAACTGAGAAGTTCCAGTAAGACTTCAAGTAAGCGCTAGGATGAATCTTCCAAAAATGGCAAAGAGGAGGGCTGGCTGCCAAGACCCTTGTTTGAAATGAAGCAATTGGGTATTTTGACAGTGCAGTGACAAATCTGTTGTCATCTGATCAGTGGGATATCAGTCCAGCTCCCAGGGGTCAGGTGCCCATGTTACTAAAACAATCACCACTACCATAGTTGGCACTAAATGTCACCTTTGCTGAGCTGACCAAGTCTCAGTAGAAAGGTCAAAGGGAGACCAAGAAACCAATGGAGAATCTAACCTCTAGAGATAGTCCCTTCAGGTCAGAGTCAAGCCACATAGTTGGAACCATCTAAATAAATTAGTGCTGCCAGTGTCCTTGTTTCACCTATTAGTTTAATAAATAACAAGTGCAGGTCAGGATAAACAGTAAACTCAGTTCAGCTTAGGAGGGCGGGGGGCGTTATGTCACCTTTATGCCCTCCCTCCATTTTAAGGCCAGCCCGGGACCAACTTGGTTCCAGCAAAAGTTAGGGCAGTCTAAGGTTATGTCTACACTACGCACCTTTTCGTGACACAGCTGTGCTGCTACAGCTGTGCCGCTAAAAGGTTCACAGTGTAGCCGCTCTTTGTTGGTGGGAGAGAGCTCTCACACCCACACAAAAAATTCCACCCCCAACAAGAGGCGGTAGCTTTGTCGGCAGGAAAGCTCTCCAGCTGATAAAGCGCTGTTCACACCGGCGCTTTTCGTCGGTAAAACTTTTGTCGTTCGGGGGTGTGGTTTTTTTCACACCCCTGAATGACAAAAGTTTTACCAACAAAAGTCCAGTGTAGACAAAGCCTAAGAGCTATTGTAACGTACATCCAGCTCCTTATAGCCCAAAGGGTCTTTTCCAGTGACTGAGTATCACTATGGCATTGTGGCCCTGCCTTCTTTCCCTAGGAAATATCTCCTGCACAGATGGTCAGGTGGGAGTGGGGAAGGAGTGGTGTCTCAGTCTCTACAGCTGCTCTACAATATTTGGGAATTCCCCAAAAGCTGGGGGAATCCTCCACCAGATGGTTAAAACATCATTTTTATGGAGTCAGAACGCTGGAATGCAGTTGTAGCAGGACTGAGGATCTGGTGTTTGGTTTTAATTTGAAAATCATGTTAAAAACATAGCGCCTGTACATGTGTAATTTGTTTTTATCTTGGAGTTTTCTCCATAGACATGAATTAATCTCTCCCTAGGCTCATAATCTGGGAAAAATCTTTTAAAATAACATAATAGCTATACCCTAGGTAGAATTACTCTTAGCATAGCATTTCTTAGCATATTCAAAAAAAATGTGCTTTCCAAAGCTAGTATCTATTATAAGGACCACAGCGTAATTTTCTGCCACTTTGTCAATGATCTGTCAGTTAATGACAATTTGCAGTGACAGTGGTTTTAACTATTCATGGAGGCATGGACAAAATTGCAGACTAAGGGCATCCATGCCGATTTTTAATATTCTTTCCTATTTTAAAAAAATAGACAATTTTTCCATGAGTCTGAAACCAGCCAAACAGCGCTAGAAGATGTGTAATTTGTTGCATTTACCACAATAGGGCGTGTATTTTTGCAGCATAATTCTCAGAGACAGGGTCACTTCACATCCATGAAAATGGAGGTGAAATAGTTTAATTTGATTTGCTGAACAGAACTTGATTTTTGTGCCAGTTTGAAATCCCTTCAAATTTTTGTCTAGGGGAACAAAATTAGGAAACTTGATCAGAAACCCAACTCACTACTATTGCCTTCCTAAAATCACAGATGTGATCCCTGACCCTGAGTCTGGTCCCTGACCATGCCTGCTCTATCTTCTGTTCCTTCCCAGACTTGATAGTGTCCCTGACTCCCTTCACTTTCTGGACTGCTTCCCACTGATGGATCCTTTTCTGTTTTGATGAAATAATTTAAGTAAAAATGTATATGATATGAATAAAATCAAGGATTCAGGTCCTCAGCCCCATAAAGTTTGCTTTGCACCACCAGATGTGTAAAGCTAGCTCAAGTAGCCAACTGACAACCCCCTTGCTTGTAGGAATCCTCCAATGGTATACAGCTGATGTAGCTGAACTTCCACCTTGCAGTGCCCAGTGTAAGGGCTGTGGCCAGCGATAAGGGTGGCTGGCCAGAGCACCCCTCCTCTCCAGTGATCTCATTTGCTGAAAAGACCCTTGGAAGCCATTGTAGCCAGAATGATATAGAGCAGTCCTGAGGCTGCTCTGAATTGTTCCTTTGGTCTAGGCCAATTCCAGAAGGCTTGACCAAGGAGGTGCAAAGGTGGTACAAGGTAGTCCTAAGCAGCTAGCCCAAGATTTTGATTCCTTCTTGTTTACAACAATGAGGGTTTCACCATTTTTATTATATTTTTTTGAAAAGCCTGACTACCAAGGGGAAAATGTTGATGTTAATTATATCTGTTCAACTCATTAAAGTCAATGGGGTTAAAAGGAAGAGCATAATTTTCTCGCTAGTCATTTTACACTCCCCCACATGTACACATCCTCCCACATATACACACAAACTATCTTAAAATAGTTTTAAATATAAAGACAAATATTTTATGAACAGGCAGGAGGATATCAAGCTGGAAAGGAGTGCTTGGTGTTAGTGTATAATCAATTGTGGTGAGGAGCATAACAACAGTTCTGCCTTTGCTATCGCAAAGTGGAGTCAATAATGTACTTCCCAGACAAAATACAACTCTGTTCAGTTTGTTATAAATAACTGATAGATTCTATAAAATGTGCAATCCCTAGATAACTAATGCTCGCTCAGGAAAAACTAAGATTGGATGTATGCTTTGATAGAGTATATTTTCTATACAGTGTTACAAAGGAGACATGAGAGAAAAGCAAAGCTGTAGACCAGAGTAGTTCATGTCTTTCTAGTCAAATAATCTTAGACACAACAGTTTTGTGAATTGTAATAAGGGTACACACTTATTACATACCCTGACACATACTTACCTTGACAGCATGCTCCTTAAAAATGATCACAACTCAAAACACTCAAGGTGCTTAATCTGCAAATGTTTAGACAAATTTCATCCATAAAGAAAATACTTTTTCCAGTTGAAAAATAACTAGAAAGTGCAGAAATGAACAAGATTATATTGTACAGTTTAGATCTTTTGAGGCTTTAGGCTTAAGTATTTTTAAGAACTTCAGTGTAGAAATAATTCCACTATTAGGTCAGTTTAGGGCTAAAATGATACAAAATGTTGTCCCAATCCTGCAAGGCAATAAGTACCATTAGCTCCTAGTAACTTAAATGGGAATTAAAGGTGTCCAGTATCTCTTCAGGAGGCATTCAGTTCCTTGCAGGGTCATGTCCCATAAGATCAGCATAAATATACCCATCAATATTTTTGTAAAATGCCAACTAAAACAGTTTCTTGGTTGGATAAAACATTCCCCATTCACTCTCCATTCAGTTACAGTAGGTGTAACTGAAATACTGCAGCATTGTGCTAGTGCATAGAAGCCAGCAATTGAAACTGGTTAGTCTAATTTCATTATCAAAGCTGAGTGAAATGCAAAACAGAGAAAAATGGCACGAATGATGAAAAGTGATCAGAGCTTTAAAATTCTTTTAGGTGTCATAATCCAAGATGTTAATAACACAGGTAAGAGAGTCTGTTTTTTTAATAAAAGCAACAGAGGGTCCTGTGGCACCTTTAAGACTAACAGAAGTATTGGGAGCATAAGCTTTCGTGGGTAAGAACCTCACTTCTTCAGATGCAAGACTGTGAATGGCTATCCAACTACAGAAGCAGTTTCTCCTCCCTTGGTGTTCACACCTCAACTGCTAGCAGAGCACCTCACCCTCCCTGATTGAACTAACCTCGTTATCTCCATACTGATTTATACCTGCCTCTGGAGATTTCCATTACTTGCATCTGAAGAAGTGAGGTTCTTACCCACGAAAGCTGATGCTCCCAATACTTCTGTTAGTCTTAAAGGTGCCACAGGACCCTCTGTTGCTTTTTACAGATTCAGACTAACACGGCTACCCCTCTGATACTTGTTTTTTTAATATGTTTTTTCAACTGATTGGGTCCCTTTAATGTTACTTCTACAGACTGTGTAGTGATGAAAATTTAATACTATAAATGGTCCTGTGTTTGCGATGCTACTGTTATTGTTTCAGCCTACTGATTACAGTGGCTTCTTTACATTTATCCTGAATGTAAGATGGCAGCCATGCCTGGCCGATAACAACAAGGTTTAACTCAACCCATAACGTTATGTTTAAATCATATAAATGTTCAATACATCTTGGCATATTCACTGTGCTTATGTGCTCTAATGTGTTCTCTATTTCCTTACTTCATATATATTACATTGCTAAACAAAAAACTTTGTTCAAAAAGAGGTAAGATTGAAAAAGTTTCTTAAGAGTGCAGATAACACATCCCCAAATGTACAATTTATTTTCAAACCCTCTTCCACTCAAAAAATGTTAAGGCTGGAAATGAATAGTTCAGGGATCCCGCTAGTTCTAATGCTGTATAGCCTCCATCACTTGCAATAACCCCACTTGACTGACACTGTCCACCCAACCTTAAAGTTGCCCTCTGTAGTTTGCAAATATCAAGGTTGGTCTTTATACACTAAAAAGTAACTCTTTACCTACTCATCCAAAACTCAAAAAGGCACTCTTCCTCAGCAAGGCCAACACAACAAAGATGGATTTTTTTCCAATAAGCAAAGGACAGGTTTATTTTCAAAATATTGTATCTTTAAAACTCTTTTTTCTGATTTTTTGCCAAACTTCTCAGGAAATCGCTACCCTGTGATGAAATGTGGCATGTGTAAGGTTTCAGGCTGAAATTTGGGGGATATTGCGGGGAGGGACAGGGCATTGAAAATTGGGCATATAAGGCTAGGGAAGCTATCGTCAATCTTCATGGTAGAGTGACCTATCCTAATACCTTCTTCCCTTTAGTGTGTTCACAATCCATTCAGTACCAACTGCCCCCATGACCTCTAGCATTAGATCCGGATTAGCTACAGGGGTTTCTTGTGGCTGTTACCTGCTTTGCCAAAGATCCCAGTAATTAATTGGCAACATTTTGCAATAGTAAACTTTTTACTGAGCAGGGCACAGGAAGGATAGGCTGAGTCTATGGTGCCTGCCTACAGTGTTCTGAAAAGTCACTGCAATGATTCTATACCTTTTTGTCCACACAATCCATTAGGACTAGAAAACCACAATCTTTAAACAGGGAAGTGCCTGCATACTAAAATAGTATCAGAGGGGTAGCCGTGTTAGTCTGGATCTATAAAAAGCAACAGAGAGTACTGTGGCACCTTTAAGACTAACAGATGTATTGGAGCATCACCCACGAAAGCTTATGCTCCAATACATCTGTTAGTCTTAAAGGTGCCACAGGACTCTCTGTTGATTCATACTAAAATAGTTTGCATTTCTACTGACAAAACCTCCTGAGGTAAATGTTTACAACTAAATGATAGCATGATGAAAAATTAATAGACAGGTCACCAAGATCCTTTTAGCTAATGCTAATTTTTTTGAGTTCTTGTAACAAATTTTCCTGTCTGTTTAGACTGGAAGAAACAGCTTCACACTTGAATTGAATGTGTACCTGTGTGTTTTTGTTTTCAGTGTTGTTGTGGCCATATTGGTCCCAGGATGTTAGGGACAAGATGGGTGAGGTTATCTTTTATTGGACCAACATCCGTTGGTGAAAGAGACAAGCTTTTGCAAAGAGCCCTTCTTCAGGTCTGGGCATTGGCATACAGCTGGTTAACTCTTAAAGCTTTATCTGTTTATAACATGTTTAACACAGTGTTGGTGCAATATAAATTACAAATAATAAGCTCCATGCAACTGGAGATACTGAGAAACGAATTTCTTATTATAAGGGATAAAAATAAAATGCACAAGGGCTATAAAAATCACAGGATGCATTTGAAAAGATTTCAGAGAGAGATTCTGAACAGATCCACCCCCTGTGGGTTACCTTTGATGTTAAGGTTTGTTGAATTACTTGGATCATCTTCCCCTGGTATCCCTGATATAATGGCGTTGTAGTGTGAGAAACTTTTATTCAAGGGTTGCAAGCACCAACTCTGCAGGGGACCTCTTCGGTTGAATTGGAATGTGAGAGAATGTAGAAATCACATGGCTTGTTCAATACAGCTGTTGAAACACAGTGAAGGATAAAGCTCTCTCCTGAAGACACTAGATAAGACATATGATAGATGTGTCAATTTGAAATCTCTTTTAACAGGAGTCACCTTTGGTTCCTTTGCAGCTCTCAGACATTTCTGTTGTATAAAGGAGTCCTCAAAGTTTCACCCAATTTATCTGCTATGGATAAGCTGCTTTCTTCAGTGTCTGTCCTTCTGGATTGTGATTTAATCATTCAAGATGCTAAGAGCACCTAGCACAAGGGGGTCCGAAGCTTTTCTGGTTTTCAGGTGCCACCACAAGACAAATAATTAATCATAAGAATACAAACATTTACACTTGGAATTCAACAAGAGGGTATCCTGGACAACTGAACAAATGGTATTAAAGTGAATGAAGGAAATTAACTTCATCATGTAAGCTTTGTCCTTGTAATATCGAGAGTTTAATTCACCCTTTTTAGAAATACTAATAATTAAGGGGAGATAATTAATACTAATAATTAAGTGGGGCCATGGTATAATGGTCTGAGCATGGGAATGTAAGTCAGGAGCTCCTGTATTCCAGGCCTGGCTCTGATACTGACCTCCACTGTGACTTGGGTAAATCATTTAACCTAGCTGCCTCAGTTTCCCCATTTGTAAAATTGGGGTGATCTATATCTAGCTCATGTGTATCTCAAGAATTAATTTGAGATTAATTAACTTTGAGATCTTTGAATGACAGAGACAACAGAAGTGCAAGGAATTATAATTAAGGTACATACAAGCATAATTAATTTCTTTACATACCCAAACAGAGCTTTTCCAATTTTAGTATTTATTGTTTGAAAATATTCTCCAGCTGTCCCCTATTTATTTTTATTGTTCTTTTTAAATACAGGTCTGTGTCTGGTTTCAGAGTAGCAGCCGTGTTAGTCTATATCCGCAAAAAGAACAGGAGTACTTGTGGCACCTTAGAGACTAACAAATTTATTAGAGCATAAGCTTTCGTGGGCTACAACCCACTTCTTCGGATGCATATAGAGTGAAACATATATTGAGGAGATATATATACACACATACAGAGAGCATGAACAGGTGGGAGTTGTCTTACCAACTCTGAGAGGCCAATTAAGTAAGAGAAAAAAAACTTTTGAAGTGATAATCAAGATAGCTCAGTACAGACAGTTTGATAAGAAGCAAGTGTGAAAATACTTACAAGGGGAGATAGATTCAATGTTTGTAATGGCTCAGCCATTCCCAATCCTTATTTAATCCTGAGTTGATTGTGTCTAGTTTGCATATCAATTCCAGCTCAGCAGTCCGAAGAAGTGAGTTGTAGCCCACGAAAGCTTATGCTCTAATAAATTTGTTAGTCTCTAAGGTGCCACAAGTACTCCTGTTCTTTTTGAGGTCTGTGTCTGTCACTCTCTTGGTGTCAATAGACTACAAGAGTAACATAATTTACATCTTCATTGTTAATGCTGTTGTAATTGTCTCCTACATAGATAGTGGCTTTCACACTGGGAATTTTTATACTAGAACCACGATTGCACTATGATACATCAAATTTCCAGGAAGACTTAAATTATTTTTCTGGGCTGTAGCATACATTAAAGTACAGAATTAGTGACACAGTTGTTATGACCTGAATCTAAAGTAATATCAGTATATTAAAAAACACAAAAAACAGAGTTCAATTATAAACTCCTTACTCAGATTGCTTAACAGCTACTTACACAACTAATGTCACTGACATCAGCGGGATTACTCATGTGAGTAACTGCTCACCAGCGGGATTAAAGGGTTCACAATTTGGCCCATTTTCAGAAAAGGATCAAGGCAAAGAGGCAAGCTGCCAGTAGGTCTGAGCAAATAAACCACAGTGAATGATACATCATCCAGCTAATTTAGTCTCTCTTTCTGTTTGCAGTATATCCAGGAACAGATTGTGATTTCTCCAACTGAATTTATTGTTTGAAATTTATTCAACACATTTTTTCTCCTTTTTCCCCACTAAGATTTGATCACAGATAGTTTTCTGTTAATTTTTTTTTATTCCATATTCAAAATGCCAGCTGTATTGCATAGTTGGGATTGGCCACATAAATCATAGTCTGGTTTGTGTTCCGCTATTGGGTGAGCACACAAGCTCTTCTGGCACAAGTGCTTCTGTCCATGAATATAAAATGCAGTTTCTGTGAATATTTCATGTGCAACTTTGACATTGGCTTTCTACCAACATCTATTCCAGTAAAACTCAGTTGCTTGAATGTTCTCAGAAAATGATCACAAATGGGGCATGAACATGGCCTAAGCAAATTCATTTCAAAATCAGAGTGAAAATTCCCAGAAAACAATGTGCAATATTCACCTCTCTCTAGCTAACAAAGATTTCTGTCTTTAATGTTTTCTCCTGTGAATCACAGATAGAGGACCAGATCCTGAAGCCTTCTGCTGCTTTTCCACCCCCTGGTTTCTGGGTGCAAGTTAGAGCAGTGTCAGAGTTCCAGAGCAAGACCTTTTGTGGAGGAACTGGTTTGCAGGAACTCGGTGGGAGCTGCTAAGGTTTGTCAGCATCTACAGCCAGCTCCAGTCATCTTATTAAGAGTATGTGTAATCTTATCATGTTTGGAAGGTTGTACGAATATGGGTAATCTTATTTTATGTTCAATTTTGCTGTAAAAGCAGGACTTATATAGTTAAGCAAAGTATTATAATTGTAAAGAATGCACATGTAATGTAATGAGAGAGATGGGGCATGAAATGTGTCTGCCTGCATTTTACAGTTGGTTTGTGCCTTAATGGTGTGTTTAGGCTTATTCACATTCATCCTGTCCCTAAATATTTTCTTTGTTACGCCACTGAGTTCTCTTTTGGGTTCTGTTCTAAGAATACTAGAACTTGTTTTTGGTTTCCAAACTGGAACAGGGTTCCTCGAGGATTTCTCCCATCTTGCTTATATTATTATGTTGTGTATTTAAAATGCCATTTAAAATGCATTGTCATTTGACAATTAATTAAGTAATATTTAGCCACTGAAAGAGAGACATTTAATTATTCTTTGTCTCAATCCTTCTAAATTCCCCGCTATTATTTTCTTAACATTTTTGGTTCAGAGGTGAAGTGGAAACAGTGATGGCACAAAATCTTAGTATCTTCTAAAGGTCTTTGGCCACCCAGAATGTCACAGCCACAACCAAGGGGGCAATTTTGGTCCTTCTGCTAGAAAAACATAGACTCCTCCCACTTGGATTAAACAGAGAATCTCAAGTCTATGGCTAGAGCAGGTTCTGACATTACAGTAGAGGGCAGTGGTGATACTCCGTCCAGTATTTTACATGTTTCTGTTTAACTTTTTTTTTTTTTAATTCATTATGTTTTAACATTTTCAGGTGACAACCATTGTCCTTGTAGTGTTCTTTGGCCCTTAAAGCATGCTTTTTATTTTAAAATAAAGACTGTGTTGGCTAGACTATGTTAAACTCTATTAGGCTCTTCTAAGTTGAAACATAGTTTTAAACTTGGTTATAAATGGTAAATGGGGCAGTGGGTTTCTGTCTCCACACCCAATTCTCCTGGCATTCAGAGGCAAGGACAGTGAATGTTGGGATAGCAGAGGTAAGGGTTCTGCAATCTGCATACCCCTGTTCATTACATCACAGTCAGTACTGCAGGCTGGTTATTTACTCTCTATATCACTTCCCAGCAGGGGTTCAAAGAAATCAGCAAATCTCCCCGGTCAGAGCTAGGAATACCTAGCACAATTCATTCACGCACAGCAGGAAAGCTAGGGATTAATCAGAGGGGGAATGTTGTGAATTCCAGAGAGTTCTTTCTTTCTGTTGCACAGCTGGTGGCAGAGCATATTGCTACATGAAAGCAGCCCTGTCAGTATCAATCTTCATTATTAGTGCTGCTACATTCCAGAGAATGAATTGGCCTCATTTGGTAACTCCAGTGCTGCTGTTCCCTTCTGCTGGATTATACTCACGAAGAATCCAAATTCAAACACATTGAATTTGCAAATTGTCAGTCATGTTCTGGGAATTACCACATCCCTGGCTCAGAAATACATCAGTCTCCAGTTCTAATTCTGTATGTGAATCACAGCTTCATGGAAACTAGAAATGGTAGACATATTAGAGCATACAGACAGTCCATCTTCTTGCCACCGCTGGATTGTTTACATTTTAATTTTACACTGGGGCTGCCACCACTTCCCTTGGGAGGCTTTTCCCCAAGTGCTTCTTTATATATTTTTAAATAGGACTTTAATTTAGATTGATAAGATACAAGAGAAAGCCAATAGGTGCAGTTCTTTTAATATAATATAGTGGAAACTTGGGAAATTAAGTGTTTTCCACAGGATCATTTTCTTATAAATAGAAGTTAATTTTTGCAATTCTTGACTTTTTGCAAAACTTTGAAATAATCTGGGTCTTCCATTTTTTCCTCACAGATTTTCGTTATGTGTAGTGAGCCAGTTCTGCTGTCTGTATATATTATTATTTATTGGTTATTATTTGCATTGTAATAGTGTGTTTAGGAGCCCCTGTCACAAACCAGGACCCCATTGTGCCAGGTACTGTATATAACATATTTTTCACACGATGCTGTACAACTACACCAACAAAAATTAATGTTTATCTCTGCTACTTCAGAGATGTTGTTAGCAATGGAAATTAGATAGTACTACAAAAAGCAATCCCACAGCAGACCTCTCTTAATACCAATCATAGGGCACATGTTGGCACGATAACACAACTTCACGGAAGCTAAATTCTTCCAGTTTTTCTGCCCTTTAAGACAACGAGTTCAAGGACTAGCCATTGCCCATCAATGAAGATCTAAAATATACCCACAAATATAGTGGCTGTTGATTTATTTTTCATTGACTAAAATCAGGTTAGCTTTCATAGTAAAGAAGAATCAAGAAGTTTGTAAGGTTATCCCTTGATCTGTATTGAAACCTTTTTTTATAATTTTTTAAGCCCATACATAAATTTGCTTTTAAATATCAGAGAGTTACAACTGTGTTAAATGTCTATATCTAGATAAATTGGACTCAGATATTTATCTAGATAGTCTAGGTACGTAAATATTTAACATACCTGTAATTCTACCGCAAGTAAAGACCAAATTTTGCAGCCGGAATATGTTAATTGCATTTCAGAGTTTTAAATTTGCTACAAACTTTGCCGCTGATAATTATATATCTAAGTCTCCTGGATTAATTATTGCCCCTCTTGCTAGGTGTCAATTCTAATAAATGATCAGTATGCAAGATGCAATTTTTGTTTAAGGAATGCACATATCCATGACAAATGTGTGGAGTATAAGTCCATTTTTAAAAGGACCTTAAAAGGGAGGCATATTTGACAATGTTTTTGTTGGATGGCTCTATATGGCCAGCCTCTGTTCTAGAGAGAACAGAACCCCTTTTACAAATTCCACCTCAGTCCAATAGGCCCCTCTAAGTTCTGGAACCACTAGCTTCCAGGCTCCATCTTCAAAGACCATGGCTGCTTTGTATTTGGGTAGGACAATTAAATCAAAAGCCTCAGATGAAAAGGCACATTACTTCTCTGGAAAGAGCAGAGGGCAGATCCTCAATGGGAATTCCTGGTAAAAAAAGAGGTCTAAATCACCTCATCACTCCTATTTGAAGGAGACTCCATGGCCCAATCTGGGTACCACTGGATCTCTTAGAGAGCACGGTACTAGGGCTCCGGTGTTGCCTCAAAAATCGAAATCCGCTGCCTCTGATACTGAGGCCAAGGCATCATGGATTACCTTAGCACCAAGAGCTTCAGCACCAGTCATTATGGTATCAGTCTCATGGATACCACTCTCCAGGGGTGAAAGTAACTCAAAGGACTTACTGGTACGCCGGAGTCCTGAGCGGGGGTGTGGCCTCAACCGGAAGAGTCTTTCAAGCCCGGCTGCCGGAGCCAGAGCTGCAGCAGGAGAACCGGGCCCTTTAAATCACCGCCGCGGAAGCCAGTCCAGTCCGGCACGGCGTACTGGCTCGTGCCGGTACACTGTACCGTACCATACCGGCTTACTTTCACCTCTGCCACTCTCTTTAACGCTAATCACTTTCTACTTTCACTAAACACAGTTCCTTGGAAGAAACAGAGGTCTGATGGTTTTTTTTGGCAGAGTCTTTTTCTAAGTAGACTCCAAGCACCCTATTACCTTCACATCAGGTCACTGTTTGTGAGTCAGCTGGTGTGCAATACATATGGACCAGCACTTGATGAAGAAAGAAAAGTTGCTTAACTTACAGTAACTGGATTTCTTTAAGTTGTGTTGTCCATATGTATTCCATGACCTGACCTCTTTCCTTGCTACTAGAGTCTTTTAACATCTGGATTCTGCAGTGACAAAGGAACTGAGTTGTAGTTGGACCTGCTCTGCACTTTTTGCCCTTGGTAGAAGCACAAGGAGACTTAGGGCGCATGCACGGCCTCAACAGACACTGATAGCCAAAAGACTCCGATCTCAGGTGCGTGGGGCACATGTCCACATACATATGGACAACATGAAGAACTCCAGTTACTATAAGACACGTAACTTTTCTCTTTAAAGTAATGACTAAATAACTATAAACTTAAACAAGAACCCCTTTTTTTCTGCTATTTGTATTTTGCCCATTTGTATGTCACAGTATTTTATTTTGGTTTATTTTGCTTTTCTCTCCTTTCAAAGATAATCTTTGTGTTCCTGAAAGTGAAGACTCAAAGGCCTTGCTAAAGTCAGGTCTGGGACTAGGTAGATACTAGTTAAACACATGCTGTCTAGATCTTCCAATGTATTTCAATCTTCTTTTGTAAAACAGAATTGTTGTTCCATTATTGGGGTTTTTCAGAGTAGTTGTTGTGACGAGTTGGATCACAGAACCCCTCTTGGGAGCTGCCACCTGATGTGCCAAGACTACTTCTGCCCCTGCTTTCCCTGCCAGCTCGGGACTCCAGCACCCTGCTCCAACACAGACCCAGGGTCTGAATTGCCCCAAAGCTGCTGACTTAACTGAAAGCAGCTTACAGAATTGTTCTTGTTTTTAACACTCAGATGCCCAACTTCCAATGGGGTTTAAACCCAAATAAATCTGTTTTACCCTGTATAAAGCTTATACGGGGTAAACTCATAAATTGTTCGCCCTCTATAACACTGATAGAGAGATATGCACAGCTGTTTGCCCACCCAGGTATTAACACATACTTTGAGTTAATAAGTAAAAAGTGATTTTATTAAATACAGAAAGTAGGATATAAGTGGTTCCAAGTAGTAACAGACAGAACAAAGTGAATTACCAAGCAAAATAAAATAAAACACACAAATCTAAGCCTAATATAGTAATACAATTGAGTAAAGATAATATTTCACCCTGAAAGATGTTTTAATAGGTTTCTTTCACAGACTGGATGCCTTTCTAGTCTGGGCACAGTCCTTTTCCCTGGTACAGCCCTTGTTCCAGCTTAGGTGGTAGCTAGGGGATTTCTCATGATGGCTCCACCTTTTCTCTGTTTTACCCATTTATATATCTTTTGCATAAGGCGGGAATCCTTTGTCCCTCTGGGTTCTCCCCGTCCCGGCCTTCTCAATGGAAAAGCACTAGGTTAGATTCCAGTTCAGGTGACATGATCACATGTCACTGTAAGACTTCATTACCCCTTGCCA